AGAGGGCGTGAAACAAAAAACAGCCGTAAGATAGGAAGCGTAAGGAAAATGCACGCATTCATCCATCCATCTCTCCATAAAAAAACAAAAAACAAACAAAAAAAATGTGCACGCTAAATGACCAATTGCTAAGAACGCAAAGACGTGTCGTTTATCGTCTTTGTGACCCTCTTTTTCTTTCTTTTTTTTAATTTTAAATACTGCCAATTCCCTTCCCTTGCTGGTATTACAAACATTGTCTTGTACTACGTCACCGTGACGACACAACTGACTGCAAAGCCTCCGTTTACGTTCTGGTTGCCGCTAACAGGTCCGTCACGCTCGCAGCGCAAAGCGTTTCCTAGGCAACATATACAGCAACACGATTTTATCGAGCGAAGTGGTGACGTAGGATAGTGACGTCGTGGGTGACGTATCATGTTTGACTGCACGGTAGTCAACGAGTGCAATGCTTATTACTGTGTTTGGGAAACAAGTCATTGCTATTTAAATCATTCATTGTCGAGCTTCATCTAAAAATGACTTAAAAATTCCAAACGGTGATTTAGCTTGAATATTAAAAGCCATACAGATGGATTACGTTTAAATAGTACGGAAACGTACAGTCGTAACGAGTGTGTTTTACAAAGGTAGTATACAATTCATTCAAACATTATCGAGGAAGTTTCTTTCATAATAATTACTTTTAGGAGTTGAGACTACTGTGAAAATAAACACATTTGAGCAAATTTCAATTTCGAAAAGTGTTTATTTATTGTATATTTCTATGGCATTCATATTTCCGGATGAAAGGTATTGTCACACATCCTGGTCAAGTAAAATGTCAAAATGTACAGCACATAGCATGCCTATGTTAGCGATGCTTCCAGAAGTGCTGTAAACATTTGATAATTGTTTTTTTTTTTTAATAATAAAAAGGCAAAATGAAAATGTACATGTAAAAGCTATATTCCGTGTTCAAAACTTATAGGAACGGCTTTGTTCAGCTTTCAATGCAGTAACCTACGGCGGCACGTGGCAAGCAAAACACAATGACGGCAGAACATAAAGCATTTAACACTGTTATCTTTGGAGAGTGGTGGCGTAAGGCCGGCAGACAATACACCAGGTGCATCTCAGTGAATTACAATATGATAGAAAAGTTCATATATTCAAATAATTCCATTGAAAAAGAGAAACTTGAATATTCTAAATGCACTACACACGGGAGAACAAATTCCTTGTTCATTATGTAGATGGTTATGGCTTACGATAAACCTCAAAATTCACGAAGTTCATATATTCAAATAATTCCATTGAAAAAGAGGAACTTGAATATTCTAAATGCACTACACACGGAGAGAACAAATTCCTTGTTCATTATGTAGATAGTTATGGCTTACGATAAACCTCAAAATTCACTATCTCAAGAAATGATTATGACAATCCCTTGCATATTCGCAGTCCACTTTACACAAATCGGCCAATCCACATTTGTGGCCCGCTGCCCTGCTAATGACTCAAAAACTACATTTTTTTTTTTTTGTTCTGTGCCCGAAATAGGATTTGTTGTTGACAAAGTACGTTTGACATGATGCATCTCAACTGAGAGACGTGCCTTCTATGCATGTATAGTGGTGCATTTTTTTTTCTAACTGAAATCATCTGGAAGACATTTTTAAGATTCTGTGAGATCAGTTTGAAGTGCCACTTTACACAAATCGGCCAATCCACATTTGTGGCGCGCTGCCCTGCTAATGACTCAAAAACTGCATTTTTTTTTTGTTCTGTGCCCAAAATAGGATTTGTTGTTGACGAAGTACATTTGACATGATGCATCTCAACTGAGAGACGTGCCTTCTATATGCATGTATAGAGGTGCATTTTTTTTTCTAATTGAAATCATCTGGAAGACATTTTTAAGATTCTGTAAGATCAGTTTGAAGTAATATGAAACAGTTTTGAGGCTATAACCAACATTCATCAACTCAACAAGTTCGAATCTTATCCCAGAAACAAACGAAATGTTATTTATGAAAGGAACTGGGTCGGAATGGGCCATTGAATTTTACTATTTGCAGAAAATAGGGGTGGCACACTGCCAAAAGGAGCGAAAATATGCAAGTCATTGCTGCCCGCCTTTCAAAAGGGTTCCGATTGCCTGTCGTTGCCATAACATGGTGACAAAAGCTCATGAATTCATTCCAATAGCGTTTTTTGGCCAACAATATGGAAAATGCTGGAGCACAAATATGCAGGGGTTCCCTCGATATATTTTCACTTTTTCAATCCAACTGGTGAAATCATTGAATTTTTCGACCATACTTTTCTGTTTTGAGGTGCACCTGTATGTCGGGTGTGGGAGTGTAAGTGCATCCCTCCACTGCGCCCCCTTCCCCCGCCTCATTTGAGGAAAGTATCGAGCTTCTTCTTGATATTGTCAAAGGAGTCTGTCCCCATATAATCCGCCTGGCCTTGCTCCCATTTCTGCTTGCGCTCCTCGGAAGACGGCTGCGGCTGCGCTGGCGGCGACAGGTGGACCGCCGCGGCCACGGACGCCAGGGTCTCCTCCATGGCCTGAGGAAGACGGACGGGGAAAAGAACCCACGAGTCCGATCTCAAAACACTTTGTAAAATAATTCATCACAATCAGCAATAAAATGAATGCCGCAGAAGCGCTGGTGTGAAGTCGCAGCCAAGCCAACAAGCTTGTGTTGAGCTTCTTCCATACCTGCGCACTCCAAAAAGTAACCATGTCACTGTAGGGGAACTTTACGGGAAAGGAAGGGACATCATCCACCGCCAGAAATACATAACAACAATCTTATTTACATCATCTGTCGTGAGTTGGGGGTGTGGGGGGGGAGACGTGCACTGTGTAGTTACCTCAAGGGTGCATTCCGAGTGGAAGGGCTGGTCTCCATATTGCTCCTGTAGCATCGGCACAACGCTGGTGGAGTACAAGGCCCACCAGTCTAGGAGGAAGGAGGGGTGCGCGCTGCCGAAGATCCCTTTGGTTTGGGCATCCAAGCCGTAGCTCCAAGGTTTGGTCTTCCCCAGGAAGTGAACCACCTTGGCGTTGCCGCCATAGCTGAAATGAAAGCAGGTGGAGTCAATGGTGGGGTTTTCTCGAAAAAAATAGAACATTATTTTTGTCAGGTCAATCAGACAAACTTTAAAACACAAGAGAGACTCGGAGTCAAGCAGATTTGTCTTTTACCTGCGTGACAAACTATATTGATGGCACGCTGTGGAAGTAAATGAAGTCCTTGCAGTGTCAGTGTAGTAAGTTGATGATGCATCTAAAAGCAGAGAGCGCTAAATTCTATCCGATTACTCTTCCAATTGGAAGATTATGACTTCTGTCTTGAAAAAAAATATCGAAAACACATTTATCTCGAGTATCAAACTTTTGTCCCTAAAATTAATTGCAAAAAAAAATGATACCATTTTATTCTCATCATGTGATAACATTTTTTTTCTTAAATATACCACACATTTTCTTGCAAAATTAGTAGTAAGGTTACAACTTTCAACATTCAAATGTTTTTTTTAACCGTTTCATGCACCAATAATGATAACATGATAAACTGTCCACTGTCGTGACCGCCGTCCCTGAAAGGGTTAAATATGACTGTAAAAAACTTTTTTGACTTTTTCCCCTCAAATGTCCGATTTTTTTTTTTCAACTATCCAGCTATTTTTTTTCCCCTCATAAATGCGCGACTGAAACAACACCGTCTTGCGGAGTCGGGGGTAAATGTGGACTAGTGACGTCTCTGTCGTATGAGCACATTTCCCCTGCCTTGTGAGATTTATTCATTGGCCAGAGTGCTGCTGAAGCTGACAAGTGGCGACGGGTAAAAGCGCGTTCATCATTCCTGCTGTGACGGCTGAAAATCATTCCCATCGTGTTGCCAGGAAAACCAAAACCTAGAGCTTGTCAATGAGGTTTATTTCTGAAGGGTGGGGGATGTGGGGGTGGGAGGGGATTGCATGGCCACAAGGACAGAAAAGTGGACACACAATGACCCGGCTGAGTGGTAAACATAAAAGGTCTTTAAATAAACAGCTCTATTTGGGGATTTGCTATCAGCTGTCGAGGTAGAAACCCTATCCGGAGTTGCAGGCGTCCCACTCCTCATCTTGCCCTGAACTCCAGGTCAGTGTGCGATTACGAGGGCGTGATTTACGTACGCGTTGTCACAGCTTCCGCAGCCTCTTTGCTGGAGTACGTTTTTTTATGTCTTCCTACGCCGCAACTTGAAACAGAAGCTAGTGCCTCACGCCTCTTTCCGCTATGTAGCCAATGAGGGCGACAACCCAGGTCTTTTACTGGCAACGTTTATCGTGACAGCCCCCCACGACCGCCCGCCCCTTGACTGCCCACTCCAAGTATTCAAGGCACCCACACCATGTCAGCAAATGGGTGAGACACATACTGCTTAAAGGCTGGTAGGTACGTATAAATGGCGATGCTGCTGAGGTTGTAGATGAAGGGGAGGTGTTTTGAAATGTCAGCCGTGGCCCAGTCGCTGAAGAAGCCATTCAGAACCCCTTGGTCTCCCCCTGAAACAGAAGGGAGGCAACCATCAAATGAAATGAGGACTTTAGATCTATGTCCCGCTGCCATCAGTCCTGACCTTGGGTCTTAAACTTGATTTTAAATTCATTCATTCATTTTCCGATCCGCTTTATCCTCACAAGGGTCGCGGAGGGTGCTGGAGTCTATCCCAGCTGTCTTCGGGCAGTAGGCGGGGGACACCCTGAACCAGTTGCACACAGAGACGAACAAACATCCACACTCACACCTCGGGACAATTTCGAGTGGTCAATCAGCCTGCCATGCATGTTTTTGGAATGTGGGAGGAAACTGGAGTACCCGGAGGAAACCCACGCAGGCCCGGGGAGAACATGCAAACTCCACACAGGGAGGCCGGAGCTGGGCTTGAACCCGGTACCTCTGCACTATCGATGCGCTAACCACTGGACCACCGGGCCGCCCTGATTTTAAATTGGACCGGTAAATTGGTACTGTTGTTAAATTCAGCTTCTTTCATCATTACCTGGCTAAATTAAAGCCTCTCCTTTTTCAACAGCACTTGGAAACAGTATTTCATGCCTTCATTAGATCTTGACCAGATTACTGTAAATCACATCATTTAGGTGTTAGCCAATCCTCCATTAAGCGTCTCCAGTTGGTCCAAAATGCTGCTGCTCGCCTCCTGACTGGCACTCGTAAGAGGGAGCACATAATTCCTACTCTGGCATACATTTTAGAATTCTTTTGAAGATACTATTATTTGTTTTCGAATCTTTAAATGGCCTCTGACCCTGTGTGTCACTATATCTCAGGGAGCAGGATGGGAGTGTTGAGGCCCTAGTAGCTATTGACAAGTATCTTTTCAACATATTGGGATGCAAAGAAGGTAATGGAGAAGTGTTGCGATGTGGTGTCTTGATCGGGGGTAGTCAGCTTTGGTTGGTACTAGTTATGGGTGGGTGATATGGCAAAAAGATCATATCACAATTTTATCATGATTTAAAAAAAAATTTGACTAATTTGCACATCACTGACTATTTTCGTCATAATGCACATGTTTAAAATGTATGTAAAACACTAAAAGAAAAAAAAATTTAAGCCAAATAAGTATTCTGACCAGATTTTAACTGAAATAGTGCAATTTTGATCAAAAATGTGCAATGAACATAAACGTAAAAGGCAATGAACAACTACACGTGACGCTTTTTGGAACACAAACACACCATATAGGTTATTTTAAAATGTCAAATGAAAATGCAAACAAATAAAAAAGGGCGAAAAATCGGACGGTCTGAATTAAGCGATCGATTTTACTGCGGTTTTCAGAGTGGAGACGTGAGATGGCAGTGCTGAAGAAATATTTACGGCTGGGCAGCTTGGAGCAGTATTTTAAACCCCTCGTATTCGACTGTTTTGATGGGAGTCACGTGTTTAACAAAATAATCAGTCACTACCTCAGTTACATCTTTCCACAGCTTGCTTGCTGTTTTTTTCATATGTTGTTTAATGTTTGTGTTGCCGGGCCCGGGCTGTATTAGCTTGGAGCTGTCGGCTGCCTCTGGCTGCCAAGTGTGCGATCTCCATTTTATTTTGGCTGTCGCCGTAGTGTGTTTTGGGCGCTGTCTCCACAAGTGATTAAATACGTTCGTCGCGTTGCCATCCGACGCCCGAACGGAGTCTCTGCAAACTTTGCATGTAACTTTGGTTTGCGTCTTGTCCTGTGTGGAAGATTTAAACCAAGTCCACCCTATGAAGGTGGAGTTTTTTGGGTTTTTTTCGGGGCTAACTCAATTTCGCATTGGCTTTACCAACAAACAAGGAGGCGGGGTATCCACTGCACTGTGCATTGTGATTGGTTGGTCGGGTGCACGTCAGCGGCTCTGAGCCCTGATAGAGTTAAAGTGAATAGAATGTGCCACATAGACCACAGGTGAAAAACTCAAGGCCCGGGGGCCAGATGTGGCCCGCCACATCATTTTAAGTGGCCCGCAAAAACCAATCAAAGATTACAACTTCCATGGTGCTTGCTAAAATCTGTACAAAAATGTCAAATTCTCACATGTAATAAATCGGTGACATAATGTAAGCATTTTCTTTTTCCCAATCCCCTCATGACAGTTACTTAAACAATACTTGAATAAAACGTTATTCTTGACTTACCGTCTTGGCCCGAATATAAGACGGCCCTGATTATAAGACGACCCCCTCTTTTTCAAGACTCAAGTTTGAAAAAAAGACTTTTTGAACACCAAATTAATTTTTATACAGAAAATAATTACAGTACATCTGAAACAAATGATTATAACTATATATTCGAGATAAAAAGCATGTTATTTTGCCTCATTCAAATCGAAAGTGCAATCACATTCGTAAATGAATGGCTTCTGGTTTTTGAAATGTAAATGACATCATACATTCTCCTCAGCTGCCGGTTAAACTGGCCGATCTTCGACCCACTTTTCTCCAGATTGTCACTACGTTTCTCCATTTTCTGTTATCTCTTCTATTATTTTCTTCTCTTTTCCTTCTTACCGCTATTTTTTATTTTTCTTCTTTGTGCTACCGCTATTTTTAGTTTTATTATTCGTGGCAGGGGTTCACTTTGGCCTGAGGAGTCAAGTTCAGCTTTCGCTTCAATGATATCTGGCGCCATCAAGCGTCGCGAATGGGTAAAATGTCTAGACCCCGAATATAAGACGACCCCCACTTTTTCAGTCTTATTTCAATGCAAAAGGCCAATACGGTATTTGTACAGTTTCAGTCCTCAAGGCCCTCCAAGGGAAACGGTAATTTTAGTGTTGCCCGCGACAAATTAGCATTGTGCAAACTAGCGACAAAAGACTGTTTTGTTTCTTTATAAAATAACACTATTAGAGAAATTAGTTATTTTGACAAGTCCTTGGGAATCGGTATGATTCTGACACTGTCATCTGGACATGAAAATTCCCGTTTTTACTCTGCTATCTCATATAAACGTACGATAGCGAGCACAACGCATATTTCTAATAGGCAGTTATGTGTATAGTGCTCGTTTTCACAGTTGCTGGCCAGAGCTTACATTAAGTGGCACATTGAGTATTGCAGTTGACACCAAAGCCCGTTGCACACCGTGGCAAATATCAAAGATCAATGTGTTGCTATAATTAGGGAGGCTTGCATACTTTGGGCTCGCCATAAATGTATTTAAATGTGAGGGGGGGAATGACGGATCGCCTGCTGTTGGGACAACGACCTCCCTGTCAAAATCAGTGCCATAACTCTGTCGCCTAAGGATGGATTGATTGCCTGGTAGCTGACATCAGAATCTGCAAACATCATGCGACTGTAAAGCAGTAGTGTCAAACTCATTTTTTGTCGCCGTTCTATGACTGTGAATTTTGTGAAACCACATAAATGTTTCATCACCTCCACAGATTGCATACAGAGCGCACGACAAATTGATAGATAGCTCGTTTTGAAATCAGAAGTCAAGAATGACCTGTTCAACCCTAAACACGATAAGCTGTCCACTGTAGTAACCGCTGTCCCTGAAAAGGTTCAACATTGTTTCCGTTAATTTAATAAGAGCTTTGGTAACGAGAAAATGCTTGCAATATCTCCATGTTATTATGGATTACGGATGACCATTTAAAATTTTGGTTCAGACTTGAGCAAGCATCATGGAAGTTGACAAGCTTGATTTGCTTTCGCGGGCCATATAAAATGACATGGCGGGCCAGATCTGGCCCCCGGGCCTTGATTTTGATAGCTGTGAAGCTGAGCAGTTTTGAGCAGAACAAGTGGAGTTCTTCAAAGTTACATTTCTGTTCAAGTTAGTTTCCACCCACTCCTGAGGGCAACAACATTGCTGAGCAGGTGACGTGCAGAGACTTTGATCTGCGGGCTTTTTGTCGATGGCATCTCGAAAATGACAAACAATCAGGCCCAAAGTGAAAACATCCGAGCGGGGCGCACCCTGGATTTTTGATTAGTTTTTACCATTCTTCACGGTTTAATTGCATCTACGATGTTTCATGACTCATTTTCCTTCATAAAAAAACAAAACAAAACACATTTACACTCAACGCATCTGTTCAATGCCAACGGGGGTGCGTCGCACACTTTTAAAGATTATCATGGCTATAATGTCTTCTTTTGTTAATTGCCCTTTACTCCATTATAGGAGCAATATACAACTTCCCGTCGTGAAATATTCCGCAAATAATGCTTTGGAAGTCATCAAGCGAGGAAGGTAGTTAGCTCCGGCGTCTTAATTGACTTCCGTTGCTTTGGAAAAGTTTGAAGCGCATCGTTTCATCCCTCATTTGGTTTATGGCGATGATACCTAGCGCAGTTTACCGCTTCCTTTTTTTTTTTTTTCTCGAGACAAAATAACATCATCCCTCAAGGGATTGGAAAGAATTCAGGTAACGCACCGGCACCGCCTTTGCTGATATTCGCAGTCGACGTGAAGTGCACGGCTGACAAACTATTTTCTTCATTAACGTTCCTTTCTAAGTCTGTACATGATGTCCCAGAGTGGTTGGCAGGCCATCCGCTAAGTCCTACTCACAGCTGACTCGGCTTACTTATATGTAATGTGGAAGAGAGTTTAACTCTTTGGTGCACCATCATGATAACCTGGAACCTGAAAACCTGATAAGCTGTCCGCTGTAGTAACAGCTGTGCCTGAAAGGGTTAAGGTGCTGTTTGGTTCACGTTGTGCTTGTTTCTGATTCTTGTCGAGTAGATTCCATTATGAAATTCCGTTTTTACCAATTTAGTGTTTTGGGTTTTTTTTCGGTCATGATAGAGAAATCTACGAGCAAAATGATATCATGTTTAAAGTTTGATTTAATGTCTAAACGTTCTGGAGTGTATTCAGCGCCCCCAAATGCTGGTGCGCAAGGGTGTCGGCCGTTTCGGGCAGAGGGCTTTTTGAAGCCCACAGTAATCACATTAAAGCAAGGGTGCAAACAGATGTAAGGAGGCTAGACTCGGCTTGGAAGTGGGAGTGAACAGTTACGAACAAAGTGTTTTAGAACATCAAAAGACGGTTTGGGAACTGGTAATAAGTGTTGCACCCATGCGAACATTTGTCTTCTGCGAAGTCTGCGACTTGCTTATTCGTAGCAGACCAGACATGAAAGTGTCAGTGTATTTGTGGTTCAAAGCTTGACAAAAGTAATCGAATCACCGCCGAGGGGCCGGACTGGGGGCATGGAATGCAAATATCCGGGGCAGTGTTTTTTTCGTGTTTTGCATATGGAAACAAAAGTCCGACGAGGAGCACGAGGAACTTGGAGTGTGATTAGCGGGACAACTGCCGTCGTTCGTCCTAGAAAATCTGCTCCCGACGATTGCAAAGACAATCTTCCCTGTGTGTCGAGTCTTTTGTTTCAACTTGTCCGGGTCAAACTCTGACAGTCAGTAACTCAGAGTATGATGGGATATTTTGCAAATGAGAACGATAGCATCACAATACTAGGACATGAGCGCCAATTGTCCTATTCCTGACAGATCTGCCATTACTCTGTCCTTTCGCCACTGTGAAGGCCATCGGAATCCTCTGCCGGAACAGGTTCAAGCGGAATCCTCTGCTGGAACAGGTTAATAAAGTTTCACTTTCTTTGGGAACTACACAAACTAGTTTACAAGAACATTCCATCCTTACTGCTGTAAATTGAGGACTTTCTTGGACATGGGAAGTAGCGGAAAGAGGAAGTCAAGTCAAACATTTTCTTCACGATATGTTCTATTGCGCCTCTGCTGGTTGAAAAATGGTATTCTCTTTAAAATTGCATTTGTGTAATCTGGAGGATTTTAAGTAGCTTGGGGTCTTGCTCACGAGTGAGGGCAGGAGGGGGCGGGAGATCGAGCCGCTTCTCCTCCACATCGAGCGGAGCCAGATGAGGTGGCTCGGGCATCTGATTAGGATGCCTCCTGGACACCTCCCTGGTGAGGTGGTCCGGGCAATATCCCACTGGCAGGAGGGTCCAGGGATGACCCAGGACACGCTGGAGAGACTGTCACCCAGCTGGCCTGGGAATGCCTCAGGATCCCCCGGGAAGAGCTGGAAGAAGTGGCTGGGGAGAGAGAAGTCTGGGCTTCCCTGCCAAGGCTGTTGCCCCCCGAATGAGCGGTAGAAAATGGATGGATGGATTTGTGTAATCTATCCATCTCAAAAGGGGGCTGCCGTTTTGCCTTGTATTGCCACTTGCTGTCGACTGAAAATGACATCACAGTGCCTAAGGACTGCCTGCGGGCAACGACCGTCGCGGCTCAGCCAGTTTCCTGGGTTGGGTCATTTGTAAATTGAGCCCTATATTTTTCAGCTTCATTCATATTCCGCAGACGCAATACTTCTCAGAATGGCGTTGCGACGAGCGGCGCCGGCGCACAGAACGTTTTACTGGAAAGGAATTTTTGACTTCACTCCCACTTTAAGACGGTATTCTTCTAATGACCATCAGGGGGCAACAAGCGAGTTTTAAGACCACTTAAAACACTTTGCTAATGTGTTTGTGCTATGAATTATTTAAATGCAGCACGATGTTCCGTTTGTCAATAATGGTCTTATTTACAGAAAGGTAGTTAGTAAGCAGGGGGTTGCTTCAGGGTACAGATGCCTCCGGACTGATTTGGATTCATCCAAGTCGAGCGGAACCGCCGGTCGGGCCATGAGGAATTTGAAAAAAAATATCCCGTTGCATCTCATAAATCAGAGTTTACAGTGCCGTTATTTTTTTACGCTTCTTTGGCAAATGGTTTCTTTCTGACTTCCGGGTTGAGTGAACGCTGGCGCGTTTGGCTGCCGCTGCTCAACCCGTATTGTATTATGTTTTATTGTTTTTGTTATTGTAAAGTGTCCTTGGGTGTCTTGAAAGGCGCTTATAAATAAAATGTATTATTATTATTATTAAATGCTTGAGTCATTATTTGCAACATAAATCAACTTTGCGTTCCGCCTGTCATAACTTGAATATCATTTTATCGTATTGTCTTTACGTGAATTACAACAGCAAATGTTTTGTTGTTATCTGTTGTCATATTTTAACCCTTTCAGGTACAGCGGTTACGACAGTGGACACCTTATCATGTTATCAGATGATCGGGATCTTTTGGTTTTTAACATGCGGAATTCGTAGCGTGTCACGAACCTATGAAAATGCAATCGTAAATTCCCAACTGCGGTATTGTTCCGAAGAGTACCACCAGGCCATGAATATAAAACAATCAAATGTGTCATTCTTACAGTTGCTGTGCAAATTAGTTCATTGCGGAGCGATGATAGCCTCAACCCCGTCTAAAGTATTTCTTAGGGCTTTGTCTACACAGTGCATGCCAACACTTTATATACCAATGGTCGACCATCCCTAGTTTTACATTTTGAACCCCTCTTAAATCCGAAAATATAAACAGGGTTGTTTTTTTTTTTTCGCTTGACTGGCACAACATGTGCGTGCTGGCTTACCATCAAAGCTGCCGTGTTCTGTGCAGTACTGAAGGAGTTTGTCATGAGTCTCCACAGACGGACGAAAAACAAACACGCCTGAGTTGAAGCAGTCGGGCCAGCCAGGATCGGGGGCGGCTGACAGTTCTTCTCTGTCAAAGAGCTCGTCTATATTCGAAAGTACCTGAGACGCACACAAACAGGCGGCAAATATCCTCACTCAGCTTTTTTTTTTTTTTTTTTGATTTAATGCTGTGATTCTATTTGACGTGTTCTCGTGGTCTCACCAGAGTGTCTGCATCCATGAAGACACACTTTGAGTAATGGGTGAGGGTCCAGCAGTGGAGTTTAGTGAAGGTGACGCCCAATTCGGGCCTCTTCAACAGCGCCAGGTGGGCCGTGTCGCCGCTATCTAGCACGTCGACAAGTCGAACCTCATCGAAGATCCTCCTCAGCACGGACCTGATGGGTTTTCGAAGCGTCAAACAAACAACGCGGAACTGCCGGTCGGGATGGGAACGGAGCTTCCTTACTGGCACGGTTCCGACACCTGGGGCCCGATGAGGGCCGCCAGCTTTTTGGAGGTTTTGTGGCGGCGCAAGGACTGGCCCAGAACCATGGCTCCCTTGGCATAGCTGTCATTGGTAGCCAACGTCACAAAAGCTTGGTCTGTCAAGGAGTAGGAGACACAAGTTTCATTGTTTGACTTTTCCCCGCAGCAATGGGTGACACTTAGAGGTGATGTCAATACCTACGCGCTACCAACTTTGTTTTTGCCAACAGTCACATGCACTTTTATGTTGAGATGATGTGCTGCAGGCTGTTTGGCCAGGCCTCCCTTCTCCCACACCCCCTTTTTCTATTGGTGCATTCAGCCAAACTTGGAAGGAGACATGATGCATTTTCCCCCCTCCAATTTTTAAAACAGTTCCCTTTTGTTCTAACAACACTCTTTCGTCAATATGGCCAACAGGGCTCAAGATAGACACGTGTATGAATAATTTAGAAACAACCAACAAAGTAAAAAAAAAAAAAAAATACAAAAAGCAGCATTTAGAAGGATGTATGATACATTTCAAAACGGCTCATTCACAATTTTTTTTTCCTGAAATAGGTGGTTCAAAGATTTACTTACTATTTGGATACAATATATTAAAAATTTGTTTCTGTAATATAATGGATGAATGGATTGGGCTGCTGGAAAAAGAGTGATGGGCAGTTACAGTATGATGATGTACTTGAGCCATATGCTTTCTTGATCAGTTTGACATTGTGATGAGTGACAGCGAGTCACGTTATCTCAACATGAGCATCATAAAACATGGTACTCAAATAGAAATGCCACTCGGTAAAGCCGGTATTAAAATGATGTCGGATATGGAGTTGTTGTTGTTGTGGTAGTTGTTCCTACTTTGGGATGGTCCCATCAGGGGTCGCCACAGCAAGTCAGGGCACATGATTTGTTTGGCAGAGTTTTTAATGCCAGATGGCCTTCCTGATGCAAGCCGCCCATTTTATATCCGGGCTTAGGACCAGCTGAGGCTGGGTAAAACAATAGCAGACAATATTAAACACGAGTAATGCATACTGCTGACCAGGGTTCCACCCTGTGCTGTTGAGATGTCCCTCGCCGGTGGCGCCCCCTGCATTCGCCTGGACATTCGGTATCCATTTTATTTGACGTGAGTGATGTCATCATATATCAATATAAGCTAACACAAAAATACAGAGGATTGTAATTTACAGAAACATCCTCGCATGTTGCTGTAAATATTAGTAGAATTGGATGGGGGTGGCGGGGTTAGACTAAACTGAACACTACAGGACAGACTCTTATGCATGTTGTCATCCGTTTTCGGTTGTCACGGCGACCAGATATTTACCTCAAATTGCAACACTAGCTCACAGGGTAACAAAAAAAATGAAATATTTTGTCACTTTTCACCCTAAATATGCATTAGGACACTGTAACGCTGGCTGGACAAGAATCGTTAATGATAATTAATTGCGTCATTCATACTGTCTGACATGATTTATGACGTCATATACCATAGCAACTCAACAAAGCGTGAAAATATTTAATAGAATTTTTGTCACGTGAGCCAGTACTTTATTTATTTTTGTAAAAATGCGATTAAAGGAACTGAATAGATCATTCGTAATTTATACGACGTCACTCCACTGTTTTGTCATCAATTTTGTCTGGCAGGGATTAAAATCTTAGAGAAACTCAAATTCACAGGAAAACACACAGAATATAATGTCACTAATTGCCTTGAATTTTAAAACGAATGCAAAATTAAGTAGCATTCGATTAGAGTGAACATTAATACATAGTTTGACGTCGCCGCGCCATGTTGTGACGCTAGCACGAGAGATGACGTCACTTCATCTCCCCAAATAACGACATTTAATCTATAAAGAAATCACGTCGAAGCTGCGCACACGTGTTTGGCGTGAAAGTGACGATACGCTGCCATTTTCATGTAAAAACCCGCGCGACGTCACTCCGTTGACATTTTAACGTATTAATTCACCGCTGTGGTTGTACATTAGGCCTACAAAGTACACGAGAAGTCACAAGTCTCGCCTCTTGGGCAGTCTCGCGGTATTTGGAGGAAAAGCCGCTTTCCGTTGTCACATACCTGTCATGACTGAAGGAAGAAAGTCCAAGCTACGTCGTCGTAGCTTAGTGGACGCGACCACCGCACGCACGCGCGCGGGCGCACACACCCACGCACGCTCTCACACACACACACACACACACACACTCGCACACTGAAGGCAACTTTGGCGCACACACTCAAGGTAGCTTTGGCGTGGAAACGAAAAGGAGCGTCGAAAGCGTACCGAGGTGCATTTATAGCAGCGGGACAGTGGTCAGCATCACGTGACTAGAGGGGCTGTGTCTGTCCACACACACATCTACAGTACTTGGTCTCAGCATGAGCGCGTATAGGCGCGCCGCGCGCACGCACACACACACACACACACACACACACACACACACACACACACACACACACACACACACACACACACTCTCTCCAGGCCAGGGGTGTGCGAAGAGGAATGTGTGCGCACGCCCATGAGGCATTATTATGCTGTGAGACTTCGATGTAATACATAAAAATGTTCACTTTTGACTGAGATATTAAATTGACAGTGGTGGAGGCAGGGGATGGCAATGCACTTGAACTTAGGAAGGCATTTGTTTACTTCCATCCTTCCTTCTCTCCTTTTTCCTTTCCTTGAACCCACAAAACCCCTCTTGAATTTAAAACCTTCGCTCTGGCCTTTGAAACCCCAATTTGAAACGCTAACTCTTGTTTAAAACCCAAACCCAGGAAATAAAACCTGCTTTGAAACCCAAACCCTGGCCTTGAACCCCCAACTGAATTTTTTTTAACCCGAACCATTGTGCAAAGTTAAGATTCGAAACCCTTTCTTAAAAAGTAGGCTTTAGGGCAGTGGTCCCCAACCACCGATCTGTGGACCGCTATCGGTCAGATAATTTTGCTTTTTTTTTTTGTGCCTTAATAAATTAAATTGGCATTTAGAAATTAAATGGTATATTTCCTTGGGTAGTCTTTTATGTGATAATTAAAAGTGGTTTAATTCGCCGAAAGCTTAGCATGTGATAAATATGCAAAGAACACAGAAATCAGGAACAAGACAAATACTATTTCACAGCACTGTAGTTGGAGCCTCTCCAACAAACGATCACAAATAATACTTTTAGTCGATAAATCGTTTTTTTTTTAATACAGAGTAATGAAGCAATATAAAGTGAGGAAAGTGTGGAAATACTAGTCAACAGCAGTAATGCAAATGATGCAGAATGACAGTTAAAATGACAAATACTGGACTGAAATGACATACTTTGGAAAGCCTTGCTCAATGCCACTATCATTTAGAATTCATCCCGTAAGCTTTAATTGTAAGTTATCTTGCAGATTGGAATGTGTGTACTGCTCTGAAAATATTTGAGTCACGTTGCAATGTTGGACGAGGACATTTCAAGCAACTATGTCGAATAAATATTTAGGCTACCTCTATGTTATACTTTAGCGTCATCTTGTGGACAATAAGCGACACAGTTTTTCAACATTCAACCATAATGGCGCCAAAGCACATTGGCCTACGGTACAAGAACAAATGAAGTGCACTCAAAATTACTCACAATGTACTTCTAAAAGTAGTGAGTATTGATGGTCAATCCGCAAGTTAATATAGATCACAATGATTTGCGAGTTCGAAAACAACATGGTGCAAGCACGAATATCAAGGTGATACGGTGACTACACGCCACAGAAATAATTCATTTAATTGAACTGAAAATACTGTATGTACATCAAAAAAAACAAAATACAGTTTTAAATATATACATATATATATATATATTTTTTTTTTTATATATATTATATTACGTATTACATTAGAAAAAAAAATCACGACCAAGCAGCCATCAAAAATGTCACTGCAACTGGTTGATACCCAAATTAATTGGACATTCTGTCATCTAGCGGAAGAACATTTAATTGTTCTGCCTGTCACTCTGCGTAACTGTTATGGATAAATAACAATGATACATTAGTTGTTTTAAATAAATAATAATTTTCAGACCTATTTAGGTAGGTAAATGACTGTAGTCGTACCATTTTATTCACCTTATTTCAGGCACCTCAATTCATCAGCTGTACTGAACAGTTGAATATTTGCTTCGCTTTTTATTTTTTATTTTATTTCATATTTTCCTTTTGACCATATTAAGTTATCTTTATGTATGTAAGTGATTTTGTTTGCTTTGGCACTTCATTGTCAACGGTGCTGTTGCAGTATTTTGGATCCAAAAGTAGTAAAGCCGATAACACTTTTACAGGACTTTTATATTTTTTTACTTTCACGAGGCCCAGATGATATTCTACGGGGCCCTTAGGTGACATGGAAGAAAAAAAAAATGCATTCCCTTGCAAAGTTTTGCGTTTCCTCGATAACGCAAACTTTTTTATTTGTAAGGGGACGCTCCTTTTTTAATACGCGTTTTTGTACTTCCGGGTAGGTTTAGCTAACGTAGGCTCTCATGCGCGGCTGATTGAGAGACGACACTACTTCGGGAAAGGAGAGAATCATGGAGGAGGACTTGGAAACCGGATTTAAGATCATGAACATATTTAATGTCTTTGTATTTCAAGACAGTGTCAAAGAAAAATTCCATTAAACTTGCCAACGGGTGAAAGCGCTCCACGTTTGTTGTTTTCAGTTTCCCGGAAAATAACCCGGAAGTACATAAAGCGCATTTTAAAAAGAAAGAGACCCCTTGCAAAAAAAAAAAAGCAGCTTTAAATCGCAATCTTTGCGAGGTAACACAATCGCTGGGTGGCATTGCAAAACTTTTTTTTCCGATGTCACCTTAGGTGCTCCATAGATCTCTGATGGGGCTGTAGCACCCCCTAGTCCCGTTGTAGCGCCGTGCCTGTGTAGGCCAACATCAACCCCGATATGCGTTTGTAGTGTATTGGAAATTCACTCATAAGTGATCAATAATCAATATTATTGACAGAAATACTGGTGGCAGAAAATGTCCGAACCATCTACAGAAGCGTATGGCCTCTCAAGTATTTTCAATAACGGACAAACAAAAGATTTTCAAATTGAATGCAGTGGAGCCTGTATAGTAGTTCCATTGTTTTTACTCGCTATATATTAGTGTTTTACTGTACCCCGCCCAGCCCAGCCCCACCCGCCCCCCCATCAGACAAAGCAGCAGACACTCTATTATCATACACGCGGGGATGGATCATTGATTTTATTGTTCGCACTCATCTTGACATTCTGTCAAGCACAGCAAGGAAACATGGCGGGTGGTGACCGTTTCCATGGATACGGGGCTGGAGATGGCGACGAGGTTGCCAGGGGCCGGGGTTGGGGGAAGCTGGAGAACCAGTTGGCAGGGGTCCTGGGCTTCTCTGTTCCCGCTCTCTTTTTAATAGAGGTTCTTCTGCACGTAGGCAGCGATGTACTTGACGGCCAGCATGGTCTCTTCGCACGTGGGCTTGATCTGAGACTCGGGCAGCAGGAAGCCGTAACGACCGGTGTCACGCAACTCGAAGGTGAAGGAGTATTTTACACCCAGGTCGTAGGCCCAATCATCGGAGCCTCCGGCGGCGGGGTCTGAGGGCATATAAAGCAGCAAAGTTGATTGAAATATTTGCTTGTGGGATGCTAATCAATTTGAGTTCGATAACAAGGCCCGAAGCCGAGTTCTGTGTCGGAAGTGATCGGCAAGCTTGAAGTGAAGTTAAGTTGAATCAACAATTGTCAGGAGATTGCTTGCATGCAATATTACACCATTGGAGGTCGCGTCAAAGCCCTATTCAAGGCATGACTTGAACTGTGTAAAAATTGTCTTTTGTTCCGTACCTGATGTGTTTATTTTGGAGGCTTAACTTAGTAACCAACCAACCAACAATAGCATGAGTTTTAATTGTAGACCTCTTGCACAACGGGTACTTGATGGAAGTAGTAACAGGCAATGAAGCTTGACTGTCACTCACAGATGGTTGCTGCACCGGGTCCACTGGTGTAGCGGGTTCCGTACAGACGACGAAGGGCAGCAGAAGCTCCCTGAGCGATCTTCAGCTGCAATACAGTGGACAAAAAAAATTACATTAACCGTCTTGTTTTTTTGCACTGTACATCATCATTATTATTCATTCATTTTCCAATCTGATCGATCCTCACAAGGGTCGCGGGTGGTGCTGGAGCCTATCCCAGCTGTCTTCGGGCAGGAGGCGGGGGACACCCTGAACCGGTTGCGCCGGAGCTGGTATTGACCCCGGCCGGTACCTCTGCATTGTGAGGTCGACGCGCTAACCATTGGACCACCGGGCCGCCCCATTATTATTATGATTATTATTATTATTATTATTATTATCATCATTATTATTATTATTATGCTACCGATTGTTATAGACCAGGTGAGATTGTACAGGACACCGTTTGAAGCCAAACGTACATCCATTTCCGACCAAGATTGTTCGCAAGTTAAAATTGTAAGACCGACACAGTGCTATGAACTCAATCCAGATGATAACGGCAAAAGACACACGTAATATGCACATGCAGCGCATTTTTGCGGAGATTGTGGCGACGCCCAGCAGGAAATGAAATCAAGGCAAGAAATGCACGCTCGGGAAATGAAATTCCTCCGTTGCGAGACTTCTTTTGGTTCTTTTTCTCCCTTTAAAGTGTCAAAAATGACCCGTGAGGCGCAGACAGATGTGTTAAACGTGAGCACTAATACGTGCTGCGAGTGTTAACGAACTTGATCCTCCCAGCAGAGGAACTCCTAAGCAAGTTCCTACGAGGACATACTGACCAGCTCGCTGTGGTGCGCTGCCAGGTCGTAGGTGTACGAGTAAGGGAAGAGCAGCAGCTGCGAATACGAGTGGATGGTGATGTAGGCCTTGATGGCTGACTTGTTCCTGCGGATGAAGTCGGCCACGTTCTTGACCTCGATCTCAGACTCGGGTTTGTAGCCGCAGAAGGTGTCGCTGCAAGGGCTGCTGGAGGCTCCGATGGCTGAAATAAAGACCCAGATTTGGTGTCTTTGCACTAGAAAGTGTGTGTGAATGCTGAGAGGTGCCGATAATAGCGGACTCATCAAAGCGCAATACAAATAGAGTGAAACTCCTCTACAACGAATCCTAAATGGGGGAAAATACCCCCTAGTGTGAAAAAAATGTTCATGCATGAAAGCGTCCAGGGCATTTGACCCCCTAGTGTGAAAAAATGTTCATGCATGAAAGCATCCAGGGCATTTGATATACAATATTTTTTATTTTTCTTCTACGTGCTGCCGCTATTTTTATTTTTATTGCTTTGGCCTGGGGAGTCAAGTTCAGCATTCGCTTCAATGATATCTGGCGCCATCTAGCGTCGTGAATGGGTATAATGTCTAGACCCCCAACATAAGACGGCCCCCACTTTTTCATTCTTATTTCAATGCAAAAAACACCATCTTATATTTGGGCCAATACGGGAATAAAAATGAAAGATGGAGGAAGCAAAGTAAAAGACATTATGCAAGAAATTGATGTAAGTGAAAGTGAATGCTGATCGTAAATTTCACAATTTCTTTAGTTTTTTTCTTTCTACACTGGCTATATGAAGTGGCAAATAAGAGCATGCTCATATTTATGCACAACATATTGGAATAAAAATAAAGTAAAAGTAAGTAAAGTAAAAATAAATGTGTGTGTGTGTGTGTGTGTGTGTGTGTGTGTGTGTGTGTGTGTGCGTGTGTGTGTGTGTGTGTGTGTGTGTGTGTGTGTGCGCGTTTACATCTAGGATTACATTTGCTACAGTGAAAAGCCCCCTGTTGTGAAAAATTTCTTGCTGCAAAAATGATTTCGTTGTAGAGGAGTTTCACTGTACTTGGATCTGTGGAGTGTCTGCCCATCCATTAAACATGAAATCCAGCAGCCAGGTACATTTCATTGACACTTGACACTGTCTCTCTCATCCTACTTACTGCACCAGCCAGCGTTCCAGTTTCTGTTGGGATCAGCTCCGACGCAGCTGGACCCAGACCTCCTGGAGCGAGTTTTTCTCCACATCCTATTCTAGAAAGCATAAAGCGCAAACACAGTTGGTCACGCGTTTCAACGTGAGCCTCACCATCGGGGTGGCAAAAGCACATACGCTCTTGTGGGTGTAGTCATAGCCGTCAATGTTGAAGACTGGAAGGACGTAGACGTCCATCTGGTCGAGCAGACTGGTCATCTGAGAATCTTTGCCGTAGGTGGACAGAGCCTGAGGACGCACGACCGTTTTTGAAATTATCTCCATTTTCAAATTTGGTTTCATAGATCTCGTACCTCCTTGACAAACCATTGGCAGAAAGCGGGGGAGATCCACTCTCTGGCGTGGATGCCGCAGTCCATGAAGATGGCAGGCTTGGCGGAGCTGGACTTCTTGCCGAGCTGCGATGACAAACAAATGTCAGGTGCAATCATGTTCAACACCGATCGGATGATTTGTTTCAAATGCCTCGCCGGATACCTTAAGGAGAGTCATGGAGCGTCCCTCGTATGTTTTCCCAATCACCTGTCTGCTGATCAGACTCGGGTTGGAAGAGGAAATGGATGCAATCCATGACTGGACCTAAAACCAAACTGGGACATTTAACCCTTTCATGCACGCTGTAATCCAGCGGTCCCCAATTTTTTTGCCCGACGTACTGGTTTAATGTCAGACAATATTTTCAGGGACCGGCCTGATAAATACAATGGCCGGATAAATACAACATAATCATATGATATGACCTGCATGAAACTTGTGGTATTTTCGAAACAGGAATAAACACGAATCACGACACGAGGAACGTCCTATCTGGCCGCAACGCTCTGTGGTCGCTATGGTAAACATGCCTTCAAAATAAGATACAGCGCACATACAAAGGGCATGAAAAATATGACTCACCATTGCCGCATATTATGCAGAGTGGACTTGGTTCGTGGGAATCTCCCGTTGAGAAAAATCTGTATTTTAAGTACTGTATCCTTCTGTTTCTTGAAAGTCGTAGGCTCCTCTTCTGTCTCCTGGCTGGGCATTTTCCCATTCCCAAAGAAACTTTCCAAAAACGTTTGGTTTTCATTTTGCTATATCCTCGGTCGTGACCGAGAAGCGTGGCTTGACGTGAGTCAAGCGTGACACAGACGGATGTAACGGAAAATCCGGTAATTTTTCAAAATAAAACATCTTTCGTATTCCGAAATAAATAAAACGGAAATAAGGCAAGTTCATTCTGTGCAGGCCCGGTACCAAATGCCCTGCGGACCGGTACCGGTCCGCGGACCGGCGGTTGGGGACCACTGCTGTAGACGGATGTAACACAGAATCCGGTAATTTTTCAAAATAAAACATCTTTCGGTTTCCGAAATGAATAAAACGTAAGTAATGTAAGTTATTTAATCTCTCTGTGTGGCCCGGTACCAAATGACCACCCCGTGGTCTGGGGACCACTGCTGTAATCTGATAACCTGACAAGCTCTCCACTGTAGTAACCGCTGTTCCTGAAAGGGTTAAGGAAGACCCCTGACGCAGGTTGTGTCTTCCGGGATAGTGTTGATACAAACATAAGGCATGTCACTTTCTCTTACCTTGTCCCAGCTGTTGTACTTGGTGTAGCTGTGGGTTCTGGGCGAAGCCTTGTTGTCAGCCTGGTCCTCAACGGCAGCCTGCAGGTCGTCGATCAGGACCCTGTTGGAAAATTCAACAAAAAAAACCCGCATTTCACAAACATTGCGAAAGCTGTTTAGACGCACGCTGATCGTCGGGCTGAATCTGAGGATTTTCTCCCTTCTGATTAAAAGCTATAAAAAAAAAAAAAAAACATTAGCAGTAGTGCAAAACGACGAACCGTTACAAAGAAGGGTAACGTTCTCGTTCGCTTTTGTTACATTGCGAGAGAAAGAACGTCTCTCTCAGTTGATGAATACTAAATCCAAATTCAGACTCATGCAGACGTTTGAGCCTCGTGTTACTTACTCATGTTGTATGTTGCTCTGCAGCAGCATGGTGTGCACCATGTCTTGGTACAAGGCGGGGACACGGATGTCCACGTCGATGTCGATGGTCACCAGCTCGGCGCTCTCGGGGCTCCAGAAGTCGATCTGCCAAAAGGACGATGGCGTTGAGCGACACCTACGGTCTGCCTCGTGTGAAGGTACGTTAGGAATCGAAGGTCTACCTCAATGCTTTGCGCCAGGTCCTTAATGAGGGTGACATGTTCGTCAAAAATCGGTTTTAGACGCAACACTTGTTCGCTTGGGGGTGGAAAAAATGTGTTAGTGATGCAACAGGTCATCCGCCCATCTGTTTTCCTCATTAGGGTTGAGCGCGTGAGTTTGGAGCCTATCTCGGCTGATTTTGGACAAAGACATCAACCCTGGATTGGTTTGCCAACCAATCACAGGGTACTGTATGAGTCAAACTTCACACAGGTAACACCAGAGCCCAGAAACTTCTCTGAGACAGGCGTGCTCCCCAACGGACTGTCACCATATGACATCGAATATAAAATCTGCCTTTCAGAAGAGCCTTATACTCAATTTTGATCGGTATTGATGGCAAAATACGAGAGAGAGAGAGCTCTCAGTATGATGCAGCGCAGTTCAGCGACAACGCCGATGATAAACCGTGTCACAATGGGGGTTAAAAAAAAAAACTCACTAAGATGACAACTTTCTTGTTTGCTGGCACACCGAAAATTGCAGTTCTCTGAGCTGACGGGAGGCTAATTGAACTGGATCAGATGTGTACGCCACCGTGATGGATCGCAGGCAGTTGTCACCGTATGCGGTAGAAAGCCCAAACTATGATTTGCTCAGCGTGTCTCACATCATATTGCCGCCCCCCCCCACTCCCCCCAAAAATGAAAACTGGAATTGTCTTTTCATCAGAAGATCGGATAAGGTTACCCGTCGAAGCGAGTGACGTCGGCCAATGCGACGGCGACCAGTCCGAAAAGCAGGAGGATCCTCATGATGGCGAGTGAGGCTGACGTGGCCTCCTGACGGCT